CCCACCAGCCAAGGTTAATTTAATTCGGCCAATGCCTCACCATTATACATTGACAGAATACCCACTATAAACCTGTATTGACAAAATCAATCACAGCGGTGAGTTCTTTGTTGCATTTCCATGATACATACTAAATGGAACACAAAGTCATGTGTTGTGATGCATTTCCATGAGAAATGAAACCTGAAGTTGCACAAAGTTGTTGTTACATGAAAACGCTGATTAATAGATCCAGCTCAATGGCATGCCCAGTGAAATCTTTCAATTTAACTGAGATCCATTACAGCTTTTCCTGACAGAATCACACACTGCTTCATAGAACAGATTCAGTGAATTGGATAATGATTTATATAACTCTATATATGCATAGATACAATGTATCATATTAACTTAAATTCTGTCTATTACCAGTAGTAGCACATGCATTCTTTATACCGGTAAACATAAACAACATATTTCATATTTTAAAATATTCCAGCACAAAATAAATAAAATTGTTTGTGACATGTGTGCACAGAGTTATATTGTACACTATAAATTCTTACATTGTCTCTGTTTTCTGTCTGACTGTCACTGTTATTGGAGTTTCTTTCTGTTCTTTTACCATCTTAAGTAGTTTTACAGTTGTTACTTTATTCTTCAGAGCACACTTTTTAACATGTACCTCAGGTGCCTGTTTAAAATATATAGAAAGTACAACCAATATTAGACTCCACTCTAGTTGTCAGATAAACTCAGTTATATACAATATTTGCTCTATTGTATGTGTTTATTTGGTTTCTATGGTGTAAATAAGTCATATTATTTATGATCTATCTTACAATTCTAACATTCAAATGAAGCAAATATGGTATGCCAATTGCTTCTTAACTCCTTAGCAAAGCTTGTAGTATCACTGTTATTGTTGTGTTTTTACTTATTCCACTGATTATTTAGTCATCTAAATCCCAGAAGTGAATAAACAGACACTTACATTTTGTATGTTAACTTGTAGACCTTGATTTGAAAGTGTGCAATGAAAAATTTCAAACAGTTTCCAATGTTGTCAGCCATCTTGGAATAAAATTTAACTGAAAGTGGTTATTTTAAACCCTTTTTGAAGGTCTAACCATTCTGGTTTTGTTGTTGCTGCAGCACTTCTAGTATATGGGCTACCTATTTCATGATTTAAAACTTTAGTGGCAAAATATTCAGAAGAAAGATGAAAAACAGCAAAACACACATGAAAATCTTGCTATTTAGCACTATCCATATATATAAAGGAATCAAAACGAGTCATTAGGATGTGAAATTTTATTTTCTCTCTGATTTGTAGGCAACTGTTTCTCAACTTGTCTCTTTATTTAGTTTCAATCAGTGTTCAAGATGGCCCCCATATAGTAAATATCGGTGAATTTATCGCATTTATCATATTGTCACTTGTATGCCAGCTGACTTTGGCCATTTTCAGGCTGACCAGGGAAACTGATTTCACATTATCACGCTTCGCAAAGCAAATCATTCAGGGGAATCCAGACTTGTAGCAGGCTACGTAAAAGCATTCTATGTTTCCTAATGCAATATAGACTCGCCCACGAGTCAGCGCCAGCGAGATTCGAAAGCCAACTGTTTAGTCAAAACCCAAGCAGTTAGCCATTTCGCTAGTAAGTTTGCAAATTGGCTGCCCCAATACTTTTGAGACTAGCTGGATCTAAAAGCAATGTCAGTACAAAACAAAAACTGTTATATTTGTTTATTTAGCTGCTTCATCAAGACATTAACAGACAACTAAAAGATAATACAATCAAACATACCTTGAGCCCCTGGATATCCTTTGAACACACTGGGCACTGCACAGCAGTGGTTAAGATACCAGACATAGAATTCTCAGTTTTACTTTCACTGTTCCTAGTAGCAGTGGTATCAACACTATCACTAGCAGAACTCTGCCCGGCACTTAAATCAATGCATTTATTCATATGCTGGTCTCTGCATTTTAAAACCATGTGGGATAAATCTTTCTGACAGATAACACAACAGACTTTTTCCTTTGGGTGAACTGCAATTGGTTCATCAAGTAGAATGACTTGAGGAGCAGGTTCCGGAACGGTAGATTCTTTGGCAACAATTACATGGCTTTGTTCATCTTTACTTTTCACAGTTTTAACTGCTATAGTGTTAGAGGAGATGCTGGTACCATCACAAGATGACATACTCTTATCTAAACACTGATTCACATGTTGAGCACGTCTTATCTCCGTCATATGGGTCAAGTCTTTCTCACAGATTTGACAGTTGTATTCTGCTACGGTGGTCTTGAGATCTGGTGATTTATTTGAACTTTCCCTATTTTTCTGTTTTTCAGCATCAATCGACTCAGTGTTATCCCTCTTTGTTGATGTAAGGCTTCTAGAAGCTAATATGTTAGAAAAAAAATGTAATCATTTTTAATATCCAGATTTATATATAGATCTAGTGTAGTGATCAATAACCTGGTACCCGATCACTAAGTCTGGACATGCTGCTAATATTTCATTTCCATGGTCAGTGGGTGAACTTGACATTGATTGGCTGACAGCATGCTACTATTCTGAATATGCTAATTTTCACAACAATGGATGACAGTTGTGTTTTCCCATCTCAACTAATAGTTGCCACATTCTTCATGAGGTTGCAAGTTATTTACATGATTACTTGGCGATTTTAAATAAAGAATTCTCTGACTGTTATCTCATACAAATCCTTTATTTTACCATATGCTATATGCCTGTAAATGTTTGATACATGTCAAACATAGTAAGTTGTCATTTGTTTATACAAGGATCATCTGAAAGACTAATTTCCAGACCTTGTCAGAATAAACCTCAATTTCTAGAAAACTTTAATTTTTAAAAAATATGAGTACTTATTGGTGTTTCTATGTGTTATAGCCCTGCATTCAAAGTTTTTACATTGTTGTCTATGGGGAGTTTAATTGTGGTATGAAACCTGTACAAGATCTGTAAGAGTTTTGTGAACCACACAATTCTTTATATGCCCACTCACTCACCTTTACTAGTTCCTTTGGCATTTGAAAATTTATTCTTCAGGCATTTTGTCACATGTGTCTGCATCTCAGTCGTTGATGTAAATCCAGCATGGCATGTTGGGCAACATACATTCTCTCCAATTTCATCATTACTCGAACTCCGCAAACTCTGCACATGTACTTTAGACGAAACAATTTTTCTAGCTGTACTTTTAGATTCAGTTTTTGTTGGTCTTCTTCTCTTTCTTTTCGGAAACTTAATACTCGTTTCCTGGAAGTCCTCCTCATCACCAGGGCTCATAAAAATGTTGCCTAGTGCCGACTGTTGTCGCTTGGCCTTCTTTAAAACCTTTTTGGCACAAATTTCTGACGACGAGGGAATGCTTCGTCTTTTTTGTTTCTTAGCCTTATTTGGACTACAATATTTTTCCACCTCCTTCATTGGATACGTCTTGGCAGGACTAATTACATTAGGGAGCTTATTTAACACAATTCTAGCTTTTATATTAGTTTTTTCATTCATATTATTTTATCAGATAAAAACAGTCACAAAGTAGTACAGGGCCAGCAGCTAATCAAGCTCTTCTCTGCTTTCCTTTTGTTCACGTTTCAGTTTTTCAATAAGTCTTGCCTTTCTGGACCTATCTAAGAGTTCGTCAAACTCCTTTTTGCTCTCCCGGAATTCTGCGTCCTGTTTCGCTCTGATCTCTTTAACATCTGGCCAGAATATATGCCTAGATTAAGAAAGAACTGACTATTGTAATGATTATGAAAAAACAACAACAAAAACAAAAAATTGAATTTAGTGCAATGTTATATTTATCTAAATACACAACAGAATACGGAGGACAGGCAACTGCAGTATTTTTATTTGAAGTAGCGAGGATTTGAATGAGATTTTGAATTTTTGTTACAACACGCACATCTCGCACACTATCATGTAAAAAATTGTGAATTACTTTTTCCAATTTCAAATAAAAAAAACAGCGCCAACATGACAAAGCATGAATTAAGTAAAACGATTGATTGGTTGATTAGTACCAGTGTCGTCCAGTTATCAGACAATAGCTGTCCAATCAATAAATCAATGCCCAAAGTAGACTGTGCATGTACCGGTATTTAGTAATATCCAATGCTGTCCACATTTGAAATCACA